AGCCAAAAACTCGTAAATTAGTAAATACGAAATTACTCTTATAAGGAGTCCTCCAATGTTTTCAAACATGTAAGAATTTCTGTGTCTTGTATTAATTATTATTTTTGCTGTTTCTACTTATACGTTATAGATTCAAAATACAAAGCAAAACCTTGAAAATTAGTGAAAAATCGTCATTTAAGGGCAATACCGGGTAACTCCTACAAGGAATTATCTGGTTGCTCTGGTCATTTTAGTTTTTTGTAGATCTTGTATTGCTATATATGACATCTACCCAACTATAAAAGTTTTCAAGATTAGAGCAAAAACTTGTGAATTAGTAAAAAAACTGTCATTTTACGGCAAAAACTCCTATGAGCCATCTGATATATTTTGTGGTAACACAGGAAGTAGGTAGATATTGACATTCTGATAATCCCCACCCCCCCCCCCCCACCCCCCAATATTATTTGTCAAAAATATCAAGAGTAGATAGAAATTGTCATGCTGATAATTTTTTCAGTATACAATTTAAGCTAGCTCCTATATTTTCATAACAGCTGCAAAAAAAAATATTATTTATGGGTCAATAACTCAAAAACAAATCATAAGATTTTTCTCAAATTTTCAGGGTAAATTCATCTTGACGGGCTGAACTTTAATGCATTTTACACTCTTAACCTAGGTCCTATAGTTTTCACAACAGCAAACAACTGCTAATAAAATGCTCCGCAGGGCGCAGCTTGATACGACCGCAGAGGTCGAACCCTGAACAGTTGGGGCAAGTATGGACACAACATTCAAGCTTGATACAGCTCTGAATTTGGATTGTGATTAAATATTTGACACAGCATAGGTTTCTGACACAGAATGAATGTGGTCTAAGAACTTAAAAATTTTAAATTGGACATTCACCTATTATGGTCCAATATCCAAAATCTAAATACATGGTTAGATTCAGCATATCAAAGAATCCCAAGAATTCAATTTTTGATGAAATCAAACAAAGTTTAATTTTGGACCCTTTTGACCTCAATGTGGACAAAGTTGATAACGGGGCCCAAAAATCAAAAATCTAAATACATGGTTAGATTCGGCATATCAGAGAACCCCATATATTCAATTTTTGTTGAAATCAAACAAAGTTTAATTTTGGACCCCGATTTGGACCAACTTGAAAACTGAGCCAATAATCAAAAATCTAAATACATGTTTAGATTCGGCATATCAAAGAACCCTAAGAATTCAATTTTTGTTAAAATCAAACTAAGTTTAATTTTGGACCCTTTGGACCTTAATGTAGACCAATTTGAAAACGGAACCAAAAATTAAGAATCTAAATACACGGTTAGATTCAGCATATCAAAGAACCCCAATAATTCAATTTTAGATGAAATCAAACAAAGTTTGATTTTGGACCCTTTTGACCTCAATGTGGACCAATTTAAAAACGGGGCCCAAAATCCAAAAACTTAATACACGGTTAGATTCAGCATGTTTAAGAACCCCAAGAATTCAAGAATAAAAACCCATTGAAATTGGTCAAGAAATAAGCAATTTATAGGAAGTATCTTCTTTTGCACAATACTGTGCAATTGAATATTTCTTGCTATTGCGCAATACTGTACAATTGACAATTTCTTGCTATTGCGCAATATTGTGCTATTGGATATTTCTTGCTATTGCGCAATACTGTGCAATTGAAGATTTCTTGCTATTGCGCAATACTGTGCAATTGAAGATTTCTTGCTATTGTACAATACTGTGCAATTGAAAATTTCTTGCTATTGCACAATACTTATTATATAATAATTTACACATCCTGTTTGGTGTGTATCTCCTACCATATCATTATTATTTGCTTTAAATATAAATCAGAAATAACCAACTTAAAATGGAAAATTTTACAAGAAAGAAAATATGAAAAAAAAAAAATCCCCCCCCCAAATTTTTTGAACCCCCTTATGATTCATCACCCCCAAACTCAATCCCAGCCTTCCCTTTGTGGTATGGTACCTTGCAGTACAATTTCAGAGAGATCCCCCTTTTTGGCCCCTAATTCCTAAAATATTGAGGGAATTACCCCCATCATCAATCCCAGCTTTCCCTTTGTGGTATGGTACCTTGCAGTACAATTTCAGAGAGATCCATACACTTGAACACAAGTTATTGACTGGAAACTAGAAAAATGCTTATTTTTGGCCCATTTTTGGCCCCCCAATTCCTAAACGCTTCGGGCAATTACCCCCAAACTCAATTCCAGCTTTCCCTTTATGATATGGAACCTTGTAGTACAATTTCAGAAATATCCAAACACTTACACACAAGTTATTGTCATGAAACTAGAAAAATGCTTGTTTTTTGGCCCCCAATTCCTAATATTTTGAGGCAATTACCCCAAAATCAATTCCAGCCTTTCCTTTGTGATATGGTACCTTGTGGTACAATGTCAGAGAGATCCATACACTTACACACAAGTTATTGTCTGGAAACTAGAAAAATGCTTGTTTTTTGCCCCTTTTTTGGTCCCTAATTCCTAATATTTTGAGGCAATTACCCCCAAAATCAATCCCAGCATTCCCTGTGTGATATGGAACCTTGTGGTACAATGTCAGAGTGTTCATACACTAACACACAAGTTATGTCTGGAAGTTACAAAAATGCTTATTTTTGGCCCCATTTTGGCCCCTAATTTCTTAACTGTTGGTACCATAACCCCCAAAATCAATCCCAACCTTCCTTTTGTGGTATTGAACCTTATGGTAAAATTTCATAGAGATCCATTCACTTAAACTAAAGTTAGAGTGCGAAAACCAATGTGTCTTTGGACGACGACGACGCCAACGTCATACCAATATACGACCGCAAAATTTTTTGCGGTCGTATAAAAAATGGAACAAAATGATATTTCAAGGCCACTATCTCCAAATTTTAGGGTGGATAAATCTTGTCATGTGGATCATTTTTGCATTTTACACTTTTAACCTAGCTGCTATAGTTCTGAAGGACAAGCAAATCCTGCTCTACATACTCCATCCATGACATATAATGTGAAGAAGCCAGGTCTTACAATAAACAGATTTAGCATACAGCCAGATAAACAATCCTAGGTCTCACATTCTGTAGTAGAAATATTTAATTTATTCAAAATTTTATTTCATTTCCTTCCTTTACCCTCACAAAGTAATGGCAGGTTTGAAGGTCATAGTTGTCATCCTATTCTTCAATAGAACACTACGAAAAACAATATTACTTCCGTCTGTTTTGTATTGTATAGTATAGTCCATGTAGTTGAATTCTGATATTATACTTTGATACATTTTATTTTCTGGTTTAAGTGAAGCATATTTTTGTCAACTAGTCCCTTTTTTTGACATTTTGGTTATTTGCAATCCTGAATTCACCAAATTAACTAAATTTATTATTTTAAACTATTTTCTGCTGTTGCGATTCTTTGCACATTTTGGAAAAATAGAGCACTTTCTTCATTTGGAATGATACAGAAGTTTAGCGTATATATCAAACAATAGGAAAAGATTTCCACAACAGGAGTTTATTCAGTTATCCAACCAAATTTCATCAGGAATGATTTAGCTGATAAAACCAGAAATGGCTGTAACCTCCAGGGGGCTCGCATTTATTTGGCCCATTACCTTTTATTAGCATAGTATAATTCTATTAGTTTGGGTCTGATAAAATTGAGTTCTTTTTCCTCGCTAGATATATTTTAGAGAGTCTCTGAATGCAGGAGTTCAAATTTACTTTAGGTAATGGAAGGTCCAGGACCTTTGACCATACATTCTTAAAGGTCCTCCGTTATTCATAGAAGGTCCAATTTTTATTGAAAATTCAATTTATAAAAACAGAAAATGCTTACCACTCCAAAGCACTCATCATATCTTACTACATTAACCAGATTTTTTTTCTGAATTTCTTAGATAAATTCAGTCAGATTAAGGCTTCCCCTTTTCCCCAACACTATACCCTGTATTACATACAACACTTTGTACCTTTTTAATTGTTTTGGTTTCAATTGCTGCTTAAGAACACACTAGCCTAACTTTGTATCAGATGACAGCTCAACTTCGTTTTCAAACATGGGGTCAGTTTCTTTTAACCACTTTTTTTTACAAGAAATATACATGTGTACCGGGTAGATACTGGGTGCTAATTTTTCATCATGATTTTTTATGGGGTCAAGTTTTAAGTTTTTTTGTTTAACAATCCAGTGCACTTTCCCTTTCACTGTGTGTGGGAAAAAATTACGTTCTTGTTTTTCCCGGTCATATTTTTGGTCTTTAGTCAAATCCTGTCTTTCAGGCTGCGTTAAGCCATTTCATCAATCAACCACGCTGTATCAACCGTTTCATCTGGTTTTCTTTTGAAAACCAAACAGACTCATACCGTTTACTAGTTATGTTTAAATAATATATTCTCAGATCAAGTTTCCCACTATCATCTATGACGACCGGTCAAGTGACTACACATGATCATCCAATCAATTGTTAAGAATTTAAGCAAATAAAGAAGTTTCCTTTCAGTAAAGTTGCATTAGATTATTTTTATACTAGTTTTTTATATTTTTTGTTGGAAATGCTTTTGCAATTTTTTAACCTACAAAAGTATGAAAGTCCGTCGGGTGTAACTAACTACCGGTGGGAAGGTCCAAACCAGTAAATAGAAGGTCACGGACCTCAGACCACCACTAATTTGAACCCCTGGAATGTGACCTCCAAGTTAGACTTATCACCAAGTTTGTACTTACATGAGCAACACGACGAGTGCCACATGTGGAGAAGGATCTGCTTACCCTTGCAGAGCACCTGAGAACCCCCCAGTTTTTGGTGAGGTATGTGTTGCTCAGTTTTTAGTTTTTTATGTTGTGTTTTATGTACTGTTGTTTGTCTGTTGGGTCTTTTTCTTTTTTAGCCTTGGCGTTGTCAGTTTATTTTCAACATGAGTTTGAATGTCCCTTTGGTATCTTTCTCCTCTCTTTTAAAGACATGAATATAGAAAAGCACTGATCTTTAGATTGTTTTATTTACAAGTAATTGAATATGAAACAGATGAGCTATAGACAATGTTATAATGTACAGAATATACAGTTTATACTACCATACATATAATCATAGGCACAGCATTACTTCAGTCACAAAATCTACAGATCTGGAAACATTATTTTTCACCATGACAAAGAAAGAGATAAACTAGTTTTTAAATGCTTTTCCTTGTGAATGAAAACTAAAAACAAATGTATTAAAATTTTTAAGCACTTTTATTCTGTTTGAGAATAAAAGATTATGTTAATTTCAGAGGTAGACAGGTTCCTGGAGTATTCCCTTCTATTATCCTCAAGAACACGATATATCTATGTAGATGAAAGTGGCCAGAGACAGCATTCTAAGTGTTGACCCACCCACACACATATTAAGTAAACCTTTGAGCTTTAGAAAGTGACAGATATGTCAACTATAATTAATCATTAAAGACAGAAACAATTTGGTTATAACCAAGTGTTCAATCCTTTCTTATATATGTAATGCTGTGGAAGTGATTAGTTGTACAATATTATGAATAACAGGCACCTGCTAAAAATAAGGTATAGTAATTCTTTTGTACCTTGATGTGGCTTTACTTTGATAACTGGATAAAATACAGTTACATTAAAAACAGCTCAATATTGAAAATATTTTAAATCATGTTTTATGAATAAATCCTTTAACCTCCTTCATAAAGAATGGTTACAACCAACCCCTACTTAAGAACTTGTTAAATTCTCTAGAAACCCTCCCATATAAAACAGCTAGTTAATTCCTCTAGAAACCCTCCCATATAAAACTAATTAAATCCTTTAGAACCCTCTCCTACCACCAGACCTTGTTCAAGTGATAACAAACTGTTCTACAATGTACCCAGTATTTCTAGTAGTGAATTATGGAATGAATCAGTACTATCTTCTGAGTAATGACAGTGTGATACTTTATACACAATGTAATGATCATTCTTATTTCATGTTATCAACACTAAAATCAGAATACTTGTTACCATGGTAATAATATCACTTACAACTGGTCAAATTAAAGTGTTAAACATAATTGTTTATGATAAGAACTTACATAATGATGTGATATGATACACGATTTAAAACAAAATTTCAGACTTGAACTTGACCAGTTGTACATTAATAAATTATAAAATAAATGGTTTTCTTCTAAATTCTATACTTTCAAATAAAATAATTGTCAACTGGTAACAAATTCTGAAAATAGCACTCAACAGTAATCGTTCCAATGGTTATTCTGGAACCAGTCATGTCCTCTTTCATAAAGAGTGATGTCCCTTTCCTTTGGTTAAAAATAGTCAACAAGAAAACAACAAACAATTCAGTCATCATCTTCTTCCCCAGCATCCTCTCCCTCTTCTAATTTCCGCTTGGTTCCTCGGACAGGCGATGAGTCTTCTGAAATATTCAATTGATATTTTAAAACAGAGGAAGGTATTTTTTTTCAAACAACTGAACAAACAAAAATGTTGCATGGATAAAGGTGTGAAGAAATTAATGTAATATGAATTGATTTTTTTTGGTATTTCTGTTATCGTTGTTTAGATAACTGTAGATGATCCCTGTATACACAACATTTTTTCATACATTGTATAATGTGTGGCTCAACTTACTTCTTTCTTTGGTGTTTTGTAGCAATTATTAGTCTAGATTGAACTTAAGTTCTCTTAACTTATCCATTCTGGCACAGAGTAATTTTTCAAATTGATTACTATTTTATTTTTAAATTTTTCCTAATTAATATCAAGTGATAAAATAATTCTTACTACCAATCCTGGAAACAACTAATTGGGTATCACTCCACCCGAAACCAAGGCAAATAAACACTTTACTAAAATCTGTGTTAACTTTTTTCTTCTCCTTTTCAAAGATTGACCCAATAAACAGTATTTAGCATATATTCAATTGGTAAGGCTATAGTATATTTCACATAATTGTTAGTCTGTGATTTGGTAGACTGCTTCATTCAAATTTCAATCAATTTAAATACAATGACTATGGACTGCTCAATCAAATTTTATCATTTTCAATATTAAATAATTTATCTCAAAATAACTAGAGAACGTACTAGCAATGATGAAAAACTTATTCATTTGAATTTTCACCAGATATGCTTAAACAAGGTAATTATGAATTCGCTATATAGTGTATGATCGTCACCAAGCCAGAAACCGCCTTAAATTGGCGAAATATGGTGTGTATGCAGAACCACATTAAACTAGTTAAACAAACTTACCATCATCAATTTCTTCAACCTCCTCATCATCATCTGCCTCTGGATCAAAATCTTCTCCTTCAGAATCGTCCTAGAAATACAGTTATCTCCCTTTAGTTATACAGTTTCAATACTTCATATTATTTTAACCAGTGCATTTGCATAATAAAATGCTCCGCAGGGCGCAGCTTGATACGACCGCAGAGGTCGAACCCTGAACAGTTGGGGCAAGTATGGACACAACATTCAAGCTTGATACAGCTCTGAATTTGGATTGTGATTAAATATTTGACACAGCATAGGTTTCTGACACAGAATGAATGTGGTCTAAGAACTTAAAAATTTTAAATTGGACATTCACCTATTATGGTCCAATATCCAAAATCTAAATACATGGTTAGATTCAGCATATCAAAGAACCCCAAGAATTCAATTTTTGATGAAATCAAACAAAGTTTAATTTTGGACCCTTTTGATCTCAATGTGGACAAAAATGATAACAGGGCCCAAAAATCAAAAATCTAAATACATGGTTAGATTCAGCATATCAAAGAACCCCATATATTCAATTTTTGTTGAAATCAAACAAAGTTTAATTTTGGACCCCGATTTGGACCAACTTGAAAACTGGGCCCATAATCAAAAATCTAAATAGATGTTTAGATTCAGCATATCAAAGAACCCTAAAAATTCAATTTTTGTTAAAATCAAACTAAGTTTAATTTTGGACCCTTTGGACCTTTATGTAGACCAATTTGAAAACGGAACCAAAAATTAAGAATCTAAATACACGGTTAGATTCGGCATATCAAAGAACCCCAATAATTCAATTTTTGATGAAATCAAACAAAGTTAAATTTTGGACCCTTTGGACTTCAATGTGGACCAATTTAAAAACGGGGCCCAAAATCCAAAAACTTAATACACGGTTAGATTCAGCATATTACAGAACCCCATATATTCAATTTTTGTTGAAATCAAACAAAGTTTAATTTTGGACCCCGATTTGGACCAACTTGAAAACTGGGCCCATAATCAAAAATCTAAATACATGGTTAGATTCAGCATATCAAAGAACCCCATATATTCAATTTTTGTTGAAATCAAACAAAGTTTAATTTTGGACCCCGATTTGGACCAACTTGAAAACTGGGCCCATAATCAAAAATCTAAATACATGGTTAGATTCAGCATATCAAAGAACCCCATATATTCAATTTTTGATGAAATCAAACAAAGTTTAATTTTGGACCCTTTTGATCTCAATGTGGACAAAGTTGATAACGGGGCCCAACAATCAAAAATCTAAATACATGGTTAGATTCAGCATATCAAAGAACCCCATATATTCAATTTTTGTTGAAATCAAACAAAGTTTAATTTTGGACCCCGATTTGGACCAACTTGAAAACTGGGCCCATAATCAAAAATCTAAATATATGGTTAGATTCAGCATATCAAAGAACCCCATATATTCAATTTTTGTTGAAATCAAACAAAGTTTAATTTTGGACCCCGATTTGGACCAACTTGAAAACTGGGCCCATAATCAAAAATCTAAATACATGGTTAGATTCAGCATATCAAAGAACCCCATATATTCAATTTTTGTTGAAATCAAACTAAGTTTAATTTTGGACCCTTTGGACCTTTATGTAGACCAATTTGAAAACAGAACCAAAAATTAAGAATCTAAATACACGGTTAGATTTGGCATATCAAAGAACCCCAATATTTCAATTTTTGATGAAATCAAACAAAGTTAAATTTTGGACCCTTTGGACCTAAATGTGGACCAATTTAAAAACGGGGCCCAAAATCCAAAAACTTAATACACGGTTAGATTCAGCATATTAAAGAACCCCAAGAATTCAAGAATAAAACCCCATTGAAATTGATCAAGAAATAAGCAATTTATACGAATCTTCTTTTGCACAATACTGTGCAATTGATTATTTCTTGCTATTGCGCAATACTGTACAATTGACAATTTCTTGCTATTGCGCAATATTGTGCTATTGGATATTTCTTGCTATTGTGCAATACTGTGCAATTGAAGATTTCTTGCTATTGCGCAATACTGTGCAATTGAAGATTTCTTGCTATTGTGCAATACTGTGCAATTGAAAATTTCTTGCTATTGCACAATACTTATTATATAATTTACACATCCTGTTTGGTGTGTATCTCCTACCATATCATTATTATTTGCTTTTAAATATAAATCAGAAATAACCAACTTAAAATGGAAAATTTTAAAAGAAAAAAAAAAGGAAAAAAAGAAAAAAAAAAGAAAAAAAAAATCCCCCCCCAAATTTTTTGAACCCCCTTATGATTCATCACCCCCAAACTCAATCTCAGCCTTCCCTTTGTGGTATGGTACCTTGCAGTACAATTTCAGAGAGATCCATACACTTGAACACAAGTTATTGTCTGGAAACTAGAAAAATGCTTATTTTTGGCCCCTTTTTGGCCCCCAATTCCTAAACGTTTCGGGCAATTACCCCCAAACTCAATTCCAGCTTTCCCTTTGTGATATGGAACCTTGTAGTACAATTTCAGAAATATCCAAACACTTACACACAAGTTATTGTCATGAAACTAGAAAAATGCTTGTTTTTTGGCCCCTAATTCCCAACATTTTGAGGCAATTACCCCCAAAATCAATTACAGCCTTCCCTTTGTGATATGTAACCTTGTGGTACAATGTCAGAGAGATCCATACACTTACACACAAGTTATTGTCTGGAAGTTACAAAAATGCTTATTGTTGGCCCCTTTTTGGCCCCTAATTCCTTAACTGTTGGTACCATAACCCCCAAAATCAATCCCAACCTTCCTTTCATGGTATTGAACCTTATGGTAAAATTTCATGGAGATCCATTCACTTAAACTAAAGTTAGAGTGCGAAAACCAATGTGTCTTCGGACGACGACGACGACAACGACGACGACGACGCCAACGTCATACCAATATACGACCAAAAAATTTTCAATTTTTGCGGTCGTATAAAAAGTATAGTATGCTAGTAGCACCAGAAAATATAGAAAATATTTTCCAAATCTTATATAGTATCCCTCTCCGTGGGAAAAAAATAGATGCTCTTCAAAGGCTGAATTTCTAACTTGGCATTACTTTTTTTGGGCATCTTTTCTATACTCATAAAAATATTCAAAATAGTGCTGCAGGAATATCAAATTTAGAGATTTTTGGTTTATAAATGCATACACAGTACATTTGAAATTCAATAACTTGGGCTGGCCTAACTTGTTAAAATATTTTTGCAACTTTAGATAATTTCACAGAACAAAATAAAAGTAATTTTATATATAAAAGTTTTGGTTCATGTTCAAGTGAAATCAAGGTAAATAATTGTCTACATCAGTATTTAGATCATATTATGTATCAGGGATCATTTGACTATATCAATAAGGAAGACTGGATGTCAAAAATTTTGTCAACACTCAAAATATAATTTTTAATGTAAAATAAAAAATTCATGAACAATCTATACTTCCAGAAATGAGTTTGTCACTGGTTCCAACAATTATTGCCTTCATATATAAAATGAATACTATGTTGCTTTCTGTGTCATTTTCTTTGCCTTGTGTCAGTTAATGTCTTGTAAAAAGAGACATACTGAATAAGGCTACTGGTATTGTAAAAGCAGACTGACAAAATCCTTCAAAAATTACAATGCATGTAGATAAAATTTCAAGTCTGTCTTGTGAAGCAGACCAATCCATTAAACAGGCTAGGTAAATCTCTTCTTTTGTTATAATCCATTAGATATGTTTATCTCCAAAGGGAGGTACAATTTTCAAGTCATTCAAATGGATCTTAGGATCTTATCTACAAATATTTGTACGACTAGAATCTGGTTTCAAAACCATACCTGCCAACTTTTGAAAATCCCCATGGGGGTTTTAGTGCGTGACAACAATTTCAAAGGTTACAATTCTTTGCAGCGTTTTTTGCACGTGCTGTTTTGTGCTCTAGAAAAAAGTGTGTATCTTTTTTTTTATATGGTACACTGATGATGAGCTTATAAGCCTTTATCTGCTTTTTATTTGCATGATTCTAGTACTTATAAAACATAGTACATGGTACTTTAAATGATTTGATAATTTAATCACAAGAATGACAACACTGTATGATCCGTTACAGTTAGCGTAATATCCATAAGCAACTATTTATTATGTTTATGGTAGTACTGCATCATTGGATTTTGTCAATCAGCCATGCTTTTCTTCTTAAGCTGTGTAAGAACCTTCTTGCAGATGAAAATTCACCTGCCATGTTCACAATTTTTACAATTCTGACATACAGACAGAGGAATACAACTCAAATGTTCCAAACAAGTTCAAAATTTAGCATGTCTGCAATGTCCAATAATCATGAGAAACAATGATTTTGATTTGGCTTTCTAATGTGATCATGAAAAACACAGACTTTGATTGGCTGATCACGATTGTCTTCCCTTGGGAACATTCCAAACTCGGGAACAATCATTTTTTTGTGTAGAATTTCACAAAATCATGTTTTAGAGCTTTTTCACCATAACGATTATGCATTCGTGACAACGGGTCAAAATCGTGTAGTACACGCCTAAATCCTGAAAGTTGGCAGGTATGCAAAACATCTAATTGGGCATCAGTGCAACCAATCTTGTAGTGATAAGAAACAGACTGCCTCTTTAAAAGTTAACTTGACATCCAAAAAAGAATTGTGTTCACTGATCATTGTGACCTATTTGTTTGAAGACGAAGAACAATTTGAGGTTCAATAATGAGACAGGACATGCTCAGACAATTAAATCAATCTGAAGTCATGTTCATATCAATGCAATACTAATCCTTCCAAAAATTTTCAAAAAAAATGTCAATATAAATTTCAGTTTTTTTTGTATTTTTAAGAGCATGCAACCAAAATTAAACGTATAAATCCTATAGGGCTGTATAGAAACCTGGATGTGCAAAATACTCAAAACATGCCTCTCCATTTTACATAAACAAACATTTATTTGGCATATAAGTAAGCATGGTTTTCCCAGAATGACAAGGAACACTATACTGCCAAAAAGCAGAAAATCTATGGCTAAGCACAAAAAAAAGCCAAAAGCAAAGCCAACAAAATAATGAACTAACGTCGAGATTTTCTTTCTCCAAGTAGCTGAGACCAACCTCGTCGTCATCGTCTTCATCTAATTCATCGTCATCCCCATCTTCATCATCGTCTTCATCTCCATCCTCATCATCGTCATCATCATCATCTACAATGCGTAACAAATCATTTTAGGGGTAGTCCAGAAAAATATATATGGGGGCACATGAATTATCTGTGTATGGGTAGGGGGCAGGTCATCAAGTTTAAATTGTGTGGTTATGTATGCAAAGTAAAATGTAATTGTATTTTTCTAGAATAGCCCTTATAAAATTTAAAGGATTTATTTTATTCAAGTTATGAACAAAGGGCAACAACTCAACAATTCTGTGGTAAATTTCAGTCAGACACTGAATTTAACTAAATATAATGTAATTATAATTTTAGATTAAGGTGGTACATTACACTACAGGGAGATAACTCTGTAAAAATCAGCTTAACTTTTTAATCACGTTCTATTGTTAGGGAAATAATTAAGCTTCTAAATGATCAAAATTAGTGTTTGTCAAACTGCTATATTTCCAATGAAATGTTTCTGATAAAGAGTGTGATTCAAGTTTTTTAAAATTTTTATATTTTTTTCAAAGGGTCAAAGTGAATATTTTGTCAAAATTTTATGCAAATTAAACAAGCCAAATTAATTTTGGTCAAGGTGTTTAGTACCACCTTAATAAATAATGAGTTTTTCAAATGTTAAAATTTACTTTGCTGTATCATGTGTATATATCCATAAACAAAACAAACAAACACGGTGATAATTAAATTGTACCCATAAACAGAAATATAAACAGTACTTCCTTTATATATTAAAGTATGCAGCCTCAATAAGGGCTGTTCCAGAAAGGATTGAGGTTAGAAAATGTCAAGCAAATTAATGAAGTGTGGGTGGTTGCATTTTCCTTATAATTTTGTAAAAAATTTTAAATTAAGATTATGGGTGGTTGGGGTTTAAAAAGCAGTTCCTCCATGCATTTAATTCTGGAACAACTCTTAAATATGTAACATGGTCCAATGCCATTTTTTCTGAGTAATAGAGCTTTTTAATGTAATTTATACAAATTTGCTCATAACGTGACAATACCCACGAGTGTTGACATGGCACTATACTGTCATCAAACATGACAATACCCATGAGTGTCGACATGGCACTATACTGTCATTAAACATGACAATATCCATGAGTGTTGACATGCCACTATACTGTCATCAAACATGACAATACCCATGAGTGTTGACATGGCACTATACTGTCATCAAACGGAACAATACCCATGAGTGTTGACATGGCACTTTACTGTCATCAAATGTGACAATATCCATGAGTGTTGACATGGCACTATACTGTCATCAAACTTTTCAATACCCATGAGTGTTGACATGGCACTATACTGTCATCAAATGCGACAATACCCATGAGTGTTGACATGGCACTTTACTGTCATCAAATGCGACAATACCCATGAGTGTTGACATGGCACTATACTGTCATCAAACGGAACAATACCCATGAGTGTTGACATGGCACTATACTGTCATCAAATGTGACAATATCAATGAGTGTTGACATGGCACTATACCGTCATCAAATGTGACAATACTCATGAGTGTTGACATGGCACTATACTGTCATCAATCGGAACAATACCCATGAGTGTTGACATGGCACTATACTGTCATCAAACATGACAATACCCATGAGTGTTGACATGGCACTATACTGTCATCAAATGTGACAATACCCATGAGTGTTGACATGGCACTATACTGTCATCAAACATGACAATATCCATGAGTGTTGACATGGCACTATACTGTCATCAAATGTGACAATACCCAAGAGTGTTGACACTGCATTAACTGTCATCAAACATGACAATACCCATGAGTGTTTGAGTGTTGACATGGCACTATACTATCATTAATAATAATTTTTTGCTTTTACCTTCTCCTTCAACTTCTCCATCTTCATCATCATCATCACCATCAACTTCACCGTCTGTTAAAAAACAAAATATTTGAATAATCAGGTTATAAATTATTAACTGCATCAACATGACATAAATATAGACACATCTGCCTACATGTAGGTATGAACAAAACCCAAATTTCATTACTTCAAATGAAAGAAGTTGGAACTTTCTGAAAAATCCTGGTCTTTTCCAAGAAGGAAACCATTTTTCTTTCTTCCCATTCTGGACATCAGATATTAAATTGTAATTGCAAAATTCTGATCTTTTTTCTAACTTTAGCTAGGTTTCTGTTTTGAATTAGTAAATTGAAATTAGAAGACTGTCAGTGAAACAGTTTTGTTGGTTATAATATTTTCATCATTATTTCTAGGATGATGCTGGTGAATATTGTGAATATTGTCTCTTCACAAAATTTTGTTCCAGTTCTATACCTTATCAGAAGTTTCCCATTTGCAATTTTTCAACTTAATAAATCGATGATGATGAACTTGGTTTTGGTCAAATTTGTTATGTATTTTGATCATATCAGTTAGTGTTAACATCAACTGGTGCATTACAGAAAAGTTTTGAAAACCATATCAAAATGATTAGAGTGGAAGCTGAAAATAAGGGTCCATCAAAGAAACCTGAACAACAGTCTTACCATCATCATCTTCATCCTCTGCTTCTTCATCGTTCTGGTCGTAACCATCTAAATATTTCAGCTGTGATAATAATTCAAATACTCGGTCTTTGTATTCTTCTTCATTTGTTACCTCACAGTTAAATAAATCTAAACTTTTTAAATTGGCAAAACTTTTCTGAAAAAAAGAATAACAATATAAGTTTTGAATAAGGGCTATTCAATTAAAACATACATGGGACCCAGTGAAGGCACTTTAATAATGGGGTAACCACCAATAGAGGCAAATTAAAATTTCACATACATTTCCACTATGCAAAAACATAGACGACACCCACTCATACATTTTTAGTTGAGATTTGGAAGTGTCTTCCCTGGGTCCCATGTATGTTTTTATGGAACAGCCCTAAGTTAAAAAAAGAATGCTTCTCATAATAAAAATTAAACAAATTCAGAATGCTAAATACTTCAATACATTTTAAAGGAAATGAAATCTTTTGTAACAGCAAATATAAAGATCACTTTTTTCAGTTTGTACTTAGCTTTAAATGATGCATTTATATTGGTTTCCTTTTAACATGTTAAACCCATTGATACAAAATTTTCAGGAGGAACATATGTTTCAGGTTTTCTGTTTTTCCTAGAGGAAATTTTAATTAAACAAAATGTCATCAAATGATTTAACTGATGTCATGTCTTTAAGTGTGCATTATACCGTAACTCATTTGTTAAATGTGCATTTTACTGTGACTCATTTATAAAGTGTGCATTATACTGTAACTAATTTGTTTCACAAGGGTTATAACGAACCTACTATACAACAATACATATTTCAATAGCCCAGTCAAAGGGTTCAAGTTTTTTCTGATTTTATGCAGTCTACCCATTATTTTCTCTGAATGGTGTACAATGCACTATAAATTACACAATCCATTCCTGCATCATAATATGACTTACAAGTTTCATCTATTTATATCAAAACCCTTCAATAACTTGTGACAACTTTGTGTGCAAGTAAAAAAAGACGAAGTATGCAATATGCTTCAAGTTTAGAAAGTAACTGCATTATGTTAATTTTCTTGGTAGTTACTGCCCTTTTTTTTTTATTTCCCTGTAGAGTTATCTCTCTTACTATGGCTCTAATGTGTACTTACTAAAGGTTCTAATGTTCCTAAATCTTTTATTTTGTTACCACTCAAACTTAAATGTGTCAAATTTGGACATCCTGACAGATTGTTGAGACCCGCTGAAATTCTGTTGTCACTCAATTCTAACTGGAAAAATGAAAATACATAAGGTATTAAAACAAAACACAACTTATTGAGACAAATAACTTTATTTCTTTCTGGTCATAATATTACTTATTGGCCAATTCAGCATAAATGAAACTTGTTAAAATTAAAGAGGACTTTTTCTAAAAGGTATTTTGAGATGTAGCTGCGAAATAACAATCACTGTGAAGTGATTATCTAATAAGTCATCTGGAGGTACAACATGTACATATAGTAGTGTTGTGGTTTGTAGCCTAGTTCTTAAAATCTGTGTAACAAATACACTGAATGAAAACAAATGTCAAAACAAGGCATGGACTTTATTCTAAGTACAAAGCAAAAGTTCATTTATATATAGATGTTTTTTAATAGAATAATGATTATTTCTTTCAATTGACAGTCATCATTGACAGTATACTGTACCTACCTTTTTGAGGTTAGGAAGGTTAGGAAAACCTTTCAGTGACGTTAATCCAACATTTATCAAACTCAAAGATTCTAATGCTGCAAATTCATCATTGAGACCCTCTACTTGTGATGCACGACAGTTGTCTAAATTCAATTCTTTGATCTACAACAAAATAAAAATTTATTGCAAAAGTTTAAAAGTAAAATATCTCCTGTATAATAAACTGGTCAGGTCTTAGTCCTTAGTTCTAAAAGGCAAACAAAGACTTCCCATTTAGTACATCTTCAAATCAACATTATAAGGAAAATTTAAACATAGGTCATTATTCTCATAGTTGAAGTTAATCAATTTGATGTCTAGGCTCAGCTCGAAAAAACTATGTTGAAAGAAATACATGTAACAGGCTACAGTAACCCTCTGGCCAACTGCTAGTATATTTTATAGAGCACATTCACAAGTTTGATCAGCATCAACTTGCCGGACAGACCAACATATTTCACTTAATTAAACTATTAAAAGGACAAGTAAATTTAAGACAGCCTGTCTATCAGGCTGACACAATCACATCTTTTTATTATTATACCAGATATCTGATTCAGCTTGGTTACCATGGTTACCAGGCTACAATGTACATGAAGTTGAAAAGGAACATGTAACAGTCCAAAGCAAGAAATGTCACCTTACCCTTCTTCTTCCAGTTATAGAACAGAAGTTGTTGCCAACTGTTTTAAGTTCTGTTACCTGGACACATTTTTCTGACTCAGGGTTGAGCAGTCTTTGCTCTCACTCCTAAATGACATTTGCTGAACATAACTACCGGTTTTCAAGTGTTTCACCTGACCAGGATTTGAACCCAACATCTCCCTTACTCAAGGCCAAAAAGTTCATTAACTTCTCAATGTTATACCAGAAATTTATAAATAAACTGCTTCGCTGAGCACAGCTGGATACGCCCGCAGAGGTCCAACCCTGAACAGTTGGGGCAAAAATGGACACAATATTCAAGCTTGATACAGGTCTGAATTTGGATTGTATTAAATATTATAGGTTTCTGAATAAATGTAGTCAAAGAACTTGAAATTGGTTATATGAATTGAATTTACATTCAATTAAAGATTTCTTGCTGTTGTGCAATACACTGTCAGGGCTCGACAATAACTCTTGTCCGATACCAGAGGAAACAAAGGTCGGACAAGTAAAAGCTATATCAAGCTTGCCCGACGGGACAAGTAAAATTATTCTGCAGAAAATAAATTTAATCCAACTTTGATGAACAAAGTAATTATTATAAACAAAAAACAAGAAAAGAACATAAAACAAGTATTAATTTGACATGTTTACTTGCAATCGATAATTTAAAACTGGTTCTTTGTCAGGTACTTTTAAACAGGTTCTCGGAAACCAGTCTTACTGATCCAATATGCTGCGCTTTGTAGATAAGGTAACTTTACTATATTTACAAGATAGTTCATGACCAACTCGGAAGCGATTCGGCTCCAAGTTTAATAGACAGTTTGGCACCGTAGGAGACATATTTAATAAACATAATTAATAGACAGTTTGGTAACGCAGGAGACATTTCAGGACCAAGACAAATCAGAACCTCGTTTTCCTACCTTATTCTGTTGCTTTATAATAAATACCATACTGGTAATTTAAAAAAAAAAAAATTTTTAAAATAAAAATGAAGAAATTATTTACCATAAAATTCACAAAATCATATTTGATCATATGTAGAAAAAAACAATACTTGCAATACGGTGACCTATAATTGTTAATTTCTGTGTCATTTGATCTCTTGCAGAGAGTTGTCTCATTGGCAATCATACCTCATCTTCTTTTTTTTATTGATTGCATTTGAATAAACTTTTTTTCAACTTAAAAAACCAGGATACAAATCCAATGAGTGTACATTGGCAATCCTATCAGACGGTGCCTCATGTGCAGAATCTGATGAGACTTTGGCATTGATGAAAACTAGAACCTAAGTCCTGTGACATGACTAGATTCAGTTGTTCTCGACTCATATTTTTGAAAAGTATTGCAAAAGATATGTTAAAATCAAATTCTGTTCTATTGTTTTAATTCAATTAACTTAAAATGCCAAAAAGGTTATTATTAAGATTTTTTTTGGACAAGTTACAATTTCATTCGGACAAGTAAGTTTTGGTATGTACTTGTCCTACTGGACAAGTTGAAAAATAAGTTATTGTAGAGGCCTGACTGTGCTGTTGCGCAATACTTAGTAAATCTGTTGTCAGACTATAAACAATTAAAGTTCAATGAATTCTCAATGTCATTAAAGTTCAATGAATTCTCAATGTCATATTAGAAATTTATGAAAATGTAAAGGGAGCTTACATCAATAGATATAAACAATTCACCAAAGTTTCATGAGAATTGCTGACAGCATTTTTGAGTTTTTGTCCGAAAACTGGAAAATCCCCCCTTTTTTAATGAATAAAACCCCATAACTCAGAAATGTAAAATGTAAAATTTATAAAATTCTAAACAGAGCTTACATCAATAGATATAAACAATTCACCAAAGTTTCATAAGAACTGCTGAAATCATTTTTGATTTTTTTTCCGAAAACTAGAAAATCCCCCTTTTTTTATGACTAAAACCCTGTAACTCGGAAACGTAAAATCTAAAATTTATAAAAATCGAAAGGGAGCTCATGTCAATAGATATAAACAATTCATCACATTTTCTTGCAAGTTGGTGAAAGCATTCTTGAGTTATTGTCTGAAAACTGGAAAATCCCCCTTTTTTAAACGAGTAAAACCCCATAACTCGGAAACGTAAAATCTAAAATTTATAAAAAACGAAAGGGAGCTCAAGTCAATAGATATAAACAATTCACCAAAGTTTTATGTAAAATGGTTAAAGCGTTTTTGAGTTAATGTCCGACATGTTGACGATGGACAGATGGACAACGGTATACCATAATACGTCCTGTAAACAGGCATATAAAAACTAATGGGAGGTTATCTTAATAGATATAAATCAGTTACCAAAGTTTAATGAAAACTGCTCAAAGCACTTTTTGGATATCGTCTGAAAATTTGAAAATCATCCCTTTTTTATGAATAAAATCCCATAACTTGGAAACGTAAAATCTAAAATTCATAAAAATCAAATGGGAGCTTACAACTATATATATATACAATTTACCAAAGTTTCATTAAAACTACAGCATATTTTGAGTTATTGAACGAAAACTGGAAAATCCCCCTTTTTTAATGAATAGAACCCCATAACTAGTAAATGTAAAATCTGAAATTTATAAAAATTTAAAGGAAGCTTATGTCAATAGATATAAACAGTTCACCAAAGTTTCAGGAAAACTGCTCAAATCATTTTTGAGTTATTGTCCGAAAACTGGAAAATCCCCCTTTTTGTAATGAATAAAACCCAAAAACTCGGAAAACTTAAAATCTAAAATTTATAAAAAACGAAAGGGAGCTCATGATCACGTCAATAGATATAAACAATTCACTAAAGTTTCATTCAAATTGGATAAAGCGTTTTTGAGTTAATGTCCGACATGTTGACGACAGAAGGACAATGGTATACCATGATATGTCCCGTAAATGGACGTATAAAAAGGGGGTATGAAGTGGTCTTAAGTACCATGCAATTTTACTACAAAAAAATTACAATAAACTGTACATTAAATGATTTAGTTGTTCCTTATATTCTCCAACTCTATACATACTATACATTTACTTGGACACAGCATTTTGAAATGTTTATACTACAATGTCAATGTATAGTCTGCATTGTACACAAGTACAGACTAAAAGTTACACAAATATATGGTTAATAGTTAAAATGAAACCACTTTTTATGTATGATCTTTTTACAATGTAAAAAATCTTTTTTATTTTAGTATAATTTTTGATAGGCTGATAAATTCAACCTGGTTAACTAGTAGCCGATAAATACCTCATTCCATAAATTCAAACTAAACTTACATAGGTATTTTCTTGACTTCAGTTTATTTACATTTTTTGGCGTATGAATACTAGGCTAAGTATTCCACTGGCCACGTGACGTGGTGTACACAACCCAAAGCGAAATTTCGGCTCCGAAATTTTACAACTATTAACGTTTAATTCTCAATAGCAGAGATTTTAAACATTTTATTTATTCTTATTGGACTATTTTACATTAAATGCCGACTATGACAGACCCTTTTCACCCTTAAGCACATAACAATTAATGTCATCATTGGGGGACCTACATTGTCGATGGTGTACGCATTTGAAAATATGCAGAATACCTGTCCTCGCCATTGATGTAGCACTGCCGCGTTCCATACCGTTCTTGCAATGGCCTTTGCCAACTCTAAATCACTTAAAAGATGTTGGTAAGTCTCGAGAAAGCTTCCTTAATACTTGTTTAAGCTAAAAACACAAATGAATGCAACCGAGTTTGCTATAATTTGATGATAAAGTTTGTTAAAAATAAGAAAATTGAAAATCCAATATGGCGACCAAATTGCATCGTCAGGTGCGTCATCTTGTGACCCAATTTCGAAAACCCCAAGTAATTGAAATTTTTCTATATTTTCGAAGTAGCTGCTTTCAGAAATCAAAATTTTAAAATAACTAAACACACAGTAATATTCAGACATCATAGAATATACCAAATTGCTAAATGATGCATCAATGGCGGAGATTGGCGATGACGAGAAGTAGGTCAACAGAAATAGATGCAAGGAATTGCAGATTATTTGTTTTCTAAGATTTGTGCAAAATAAAGTTGATTTATGGAATAATATGTGGATAAAGCCTACTCTTTCAGTTATGTTCGCGACCAGGGATAGTGAGTAGTGCGTCTCTGTACACATTACCTGGCATGCAAGTAATGGACATGGAGGAGAGATTAATGGCCGCCATTGAATATACCACAATGGACTCAACTAAAATGTAAATTCAACATTTCTGTACTTATCTAGCAAAACTAAATACAACTATTCATATCAAAACACGCGCAGACATTTGAAGAATGTGACTGCAGCAATAAATAGTTTATTTAAAGATGTACTCGTCCCAAATAATGCTATTTAGTGGATGTGGTCATGTTGACATTTGCTGACCAGTCCAAAGAAACTGCAACATTACCTTTCTTCATTAGATTCCCCTTTCATACTCGAGTTATAACTTTAGTGAATTGAAATATCAAAGTTTTTAATCATTAAAAGTGCAAGTGGTTTTATCGTTTACAAAATTTTGAGTGTTATCCTCAACTGTTTGTCCCAAACTTCTTTCAACAATCCTCCCACTCACAACAAGTGATGGAGAGTTCATTTCCTGAAGTTCTGTCTAAATGCAAACACAATTCTTTGCCAAACCTTTCAGAAAATGGTCCATGGTGTCTTGTGAAATCATGGTGCCAGCATTGCATCAAATATGCATTGCACACAACATATACACACGACAATCTTGTTTAAATAGGCTGTGTCAAGGATTATAGTATATTTTCGGACATTAGTACCTGCTGACCACTTTCCCCTTACTGTTCAAATGAAACTTGTGCCAAGGCAATCATCTCCCCCCACTTCCAACATCAGAACAACCACATGGGCCCCAGACGCCTTGTCGTGTAAACAACGTTTCTATGATATTACTGGCGATATTTACTATTAAATGTATAAAGAAAGTGTAAATACCTCAGTAGATTTCCGTCCTCTCTTTTCCAACTCGATCCTCTTTGCCATATCCATCTTGAACCGTTATTTTTGAGTTGAATCCCTTTCAATAACAATCTTATTCGATAAAGTCGAATGTTGAACAACCACAGTGCGCGGGCTGATCAATGTTTCGTAGAGGGGTATCGTTATTGGTCAATTACTGGTACCCAAACACGTGAAGAATTAATGAATATGCATAAGTTGTGCTAATTTTCAACCAATGAAATTTAAAGACATATAAACGTCACGGTTTGTTTACAACTTGATAACAACGTGGTTAAATAAGAAAGTAGTGCCGACAGATTTGTGTGTAAACGTGAAACTCATTGACAAATGCTAATATTTAAAAATGTTAACTTGATTTAACAGTGGCGGATCCATTAGGGGGTTCGGGGGTTGGAAACCCCCTTTTTTTTACGATCAATGCATTTGAATGGGGACATATAGTTGGAACCCCCCCCCCCCCACCCCTTTATCCCGGGTTGGGAACCCCCTTTTAAAAATGACTGGATCCGCCCCTGATGATTTTATCTAAATTAAGAGATATGGAGTATACATCAATGAGACAATAGTCATAAAAACACAAAGAAAATAATTAGAGTAGACGACTTGAACATGTGGAGGTTTACAGGATTAGAAAAGGGGGTGCGAAGGAAATGTTTTGTGATTGGACCGGCTAACTTGATAGGGTTTATGACTGGTTTAGAAGGACGAAATAAGAGGAATTTCTAGGCGATGAAAGACAAGTGTCTAGCTTCCATTTGTGATATTATGATTTAACAGAGACCGCCAAAGATATGGCATTAACCAGTGGCGGATCCAGAAATTTTCATAAGGAGGACCCACTGACTGCCATAAGAGAGGGCCCGATTAGTCATGCTTCAGTGAATCCCTAAATAATCAACAAAATTTTTCCCACAAAAAAAGGGGGCGGGAACACTGCCCCCCCTAAATCCGCCTCTGTTAATATATAATTCAACAGAATGGGCTTAAAGATATGATATCAACATATAATTCATTATATTATTAGAGGTTAAAGTAAAAAACACCAAGATTCTAACAGGCATATTACTACTTTGCATTCTTTCGTCTAATAGTTGATACAATTATTTAGAGTTATGCAAAGAAGTCGCCTATAATATTTTGCTGTATATTTCATTTCATACATTTTTCTAATAATACTGATGATTTATATGGCAGTTATGGTTTGATTTTAACAAATCACGCGTTGAAAAACGCAGATTTGTCGAGTATATTTTTTGTTGTCATAATATAGTCTTTGAGTTGCTTTCTCCTGAGGTGAACATGTATCATATTTATGCCCCCGCCGTAGCGGTGGGGGCATTAAGTTTTACCCTTGTCCGTCTGTACGTACGTCCCAAAATTGGTTTCCGTTCTGTAACTTGAATTTGCCTCAACCAAATGTTATGAAACTTATACACAATGCTTATTACCACAAAACACAGATCGAGTTTAAATTTTGGTGGCGTCACTATAACCGTTCTAGAGTTATGCCCCTTTATAAATATAAAAATTGCAAAATTTTTAGTATCCGTTCTCTAACTTAAGTTTGCCTCAACCAAATGTTATGAAACTTATACACAATGTTTATTACCACAAAACACAGATCAAGTTTGAATTTTGGTGGTGTCACTATAACCGTTCTAGAGTTATGCCCCTTTATAAATATAAAAATTGCAAAATTTTTAGTATCCGTTCTCTAACTTAAGTTTGCCTCAACCAAATGTTATGAAACTTATACACAATGTTTATTACCACAAAACACAGATCAAGTTTGAATTTTGGTGGTGTCACTATAACCGTTCTAGAGTTATGCCCCTTTATAAATGGAAAAATTGCAAAATATTTAGTATCCGTTCTCTAACTTAAGTTTGCCTCAACCAAATGTTATGAAACTTATACACAATGCTTATTACTACAAAACACAGATCAAGTTTGAATTTTGGTGGCGTCACTATAACCGTTCTAGAGTTATGCCCCTTTATAAATGGAAAAATTGCAAAATTTTTAGTATCCGTTCTCTAACTTAAGTTTGCCTCAACCAAATGTTATGAAACTTATACACAATGCTTATCACCACAAAACACAGATCAAGTTTGAATTTTGGTGGCGTCACTTTAACCGTTCTAGAGTTATGTCCCTTTATAAATGGAAAAATTGTAAAATTTTTATTTTCTTCTAAATATTAAGTAATTCTTAAATTGGAGTTATCTTCCTTTGTCCATGATTATAGTTGAATCAACTACAAACAATGCTTTATACAATGCAATGTTTAATTTTGACTTCCACTGATAAAACACAGATCAAGTTGAACTTGGGTAGTGTCACTTTAACCATTATTGAGTTATGCCCCTTTATAAATCGAAAGATTGTAAAATTTTTAGTTTCCATTCTGTTACTTAAGTTTGCCCCAACCAAACATTATGAAACCTATACACAATATTCATTACCACAAAACTAAGGTCAAGTACAAATTTTTTGTTTCCTTTTTCTAACTTTAGTTTGCCTCAACCAAATGTTATGAAACTTATACACAATACTTATTACTACATAATACAGATTAAGTACGAAATTTGGTGGCGACACATTTACCATTCTTGAGTTATGTCCCTTTATAAACATAAAAATTGCTGAATTTTTTAGTTTGTCTCATCCAAATGTTATAAAACTTATACACAACCGTTCTAGAGTTATGCGTGTTTACAAATAGAAAAATTGCTGAATTTTTAGTTTCTGTTCTCTACTTAAGTTAGCCTCAACCAAATGTTATGAGACTTACACACAATGCTTATTACCACAAAACTCAGATCAAGTTCAAATTTGGGTAGCACCACTTTTACCATTCTTCAGTTATGTCGCTTTATAACTATATGATATGCAAGTGGGGGCATCACCTGTGTCCACATGTGGACACTATTCACATTTATTCTTATATATTTTACAATTTCATTTGGTTGAAGTATATATAAAAACAAGGAGATGATCGAGGGATGATTGCCAATGAGACAACTATCCATCAAAGTTCAAATAAAGTGGACGTAAGCATTAATATGCAACCGTACGGCCTTCAACAATGAAAAAAAAACATACCGTATAGTCGGCTTAAAAAGGCACCGACATGCAAAATATCAAACAATTCAAGTGAGAAAACTAACGGCCTAATTTTTAACAAAACAATTCACGAAAAATAAATATGACCGACATGAACCAACGACAACCACTGAACTACAGGCTCCTGACGTTGGACAAGCATATAAAGAATGTGGCTGGGTTAAACATGTTTGTGAGCGCTCAACCCTCCTCTTAACCCGGGACAGTGGTGTAACAGCAAAACATAAGAGCAACATATTTTCGAAAAAAAAATAATACTGGCGTTTATATAATCGGAAACTATAACAAAGTTGAAGAAAAAAACTCGTAGTGTTATATTAAGTAAAAGTATATAAAAAAATTGTAACATTGTAACTGACGAATACTCATTGCATTATAGTGTAGTTGTCTCATTGGCACATTTCCTTAAATTCGATTATTACACGTTAAACTTTAAGGACAATGTATCCTTTTGTTGTTTCAAAGCTAAACATGTGGACATTTTAATAAAAAAAAATCCGCAGCCTTAACTTGTACTCATTTATTTGACAATTCGGGTGCGCATGCAGCTCCTTACTCTTGTTTGTATGTCTATGTTTTGGGAGGAGTCCGGTGTTGGTTGTTGGTGTAACTAGTTGTCCCTTTGGTAATTACTTTTATCCTTTCATGAACTCAATAGTCAACAATATTGAACAATTTTACACTTTACCTTAAAAAATCGAAATGTTTTACAGATCTACAACACTGCAGGGTCGGAAGTTAATTGGGTTTACAGCATAAAGAATAATTGACAAAAGAATTGAAAATATTGTTCATAAAAATAAAGAGTCTGAGAGAATAATGCTCCAAAAAAATTAGAGAAAATGATGACTAAAACAGTCTACTTTAAATTACAGAAATGAAGACCCTCCCACCCAGACACTCCTACATATTGCTGTGGAAGGCAATTGTTCAAGAACTTGCATTTATTAAATGTTTTGTAAAAAGGTCACATGTTCCGAAATACTCCCAAAATATTATTAAAACGTTCAATTTCGCACATAAAGCGCGAATACTGTAATTTTTTGGTAGATTTAAAGGACCTCTAGAAAATGGCCCTTTGTACAATAAATTCAGGGGAAATTGACTCTATGCATCTTTAAATTATAACCAAGATATGTCCTTAATTGAAGAAGTTTGGCATTTTATTAGCTTATCTGCACTGAAAGGCCAATGGAACTATTGCCATCACTTGGAGTAAACTTTTCACATTGTAATCAACGCCAAAAAGCGCTTTGTCTATTAAAACTAAACTTGGCAGGATTGATATATATGTAACGTAATCTATAAACGATCTTTTTGTCGAGCCTTCGACTTTTGTCGAAAAAGCGAGACATAGCGATCCTACATTCCGTCGGCGTCGGCGTCGTCGTCGTCGTCGTCGTCGGCGGCGTCCACAAATATTCACTCTGTGGTTAAAGTTTTTGAAATTTTAATAACTTTCTTAAACTATCCTGGATTTCTTCCAATCTTGGACAGAAGCTTGTTTATGATCATAAGATAGTATTCAAAAGTAAATTTTGTAAAAAAAAAATTCCATTTTTTCCGTATTTTACTTATAAATGGACTTAGTTTTTCTGCCAGGAAACATTACATTCACTCTGTGGTTAAAGTTTTTGAAATTTTAATAACTTTCTTAAACTATCCTGGATTCCTACCAAACTTGGAAAGAAGCTTGTTTATGATCATAAGATAGTGTCCAGAAGTAAATTTTGTGAAAAAAAAATCCGTTTTTTCCGTATTTAACTTATAAATGGACTCAGTTTTTCTGCCAGTTAACATTACATTCACTCTGTGGTTAAAGTTTTTAAAATTTCTACAACTTTCTTAAACTATCCTGGATTTGTACCAAACTTGGACAGAAGCTTGTTTATGATTAAAAGCTAGTATCTAGAAGGAAATTTTGTTAAAATTTTGTTCCATTTTTTTCGTATTTTACTTATAAATAGACTTAGTTTTTCTTCCAGTTAACATTACATACAGTCTGCAGTTTAAG